GGAGGGTGGGGGGGATGAGGAAGGAGAAGGAGGGGGAGGGGGAGGAGGATGGTGGAGCTGGCGAGGATCATGACAGGGAGGTGAGGGAGAGGAGGCTGAGGGAGAAGGTCAGGGAGTTTCAGGGGGGTTTTGCGGATTTGGTGGCGATGGCGGGGCAGGAGGTGGACGGGATGAGGGTTTTGGTCGTGGAGATGGACATGTTGGGGGCGGTGCTGAAGAGCGTTCTGGAGGTTGACGCTCAGGGGGTGGCAGCTCAGGACTCTTAGAGGATGGAGCAGAGCGGTCAGGTGTGGTGGCAGTACCGGCTCGCCTCAAGCTTTTTTTTTAACAAAAAAAAAATCAAAGTCTAGATATCTAGTCTAGCTGTTGCTAAGACCTGGCCAATCTGAATGTCATTGTTAGTATCTGATAGCGAGTCATTGTGGTGATAACTCACCAAACTTCGTCCTCTCCTTATTTCGCCTCAGAATCTTGACCTCATCACCAATAGACAAGTGTTTTCCTGCATCTTGGGATCCCGGAAATCCGTATCGACCGAAGATAGGACTCCACTTGTTGCCAGCATCGATTCTGCGGTCTTTTTGAAGCTTCTTCAACACCTCTCCTGTCGGACCTGTGCCTGTCTTGCCAGTGGTATAGTCAATGTTGATGCTGGCGCAGCGACCGCAGTTGTGCGTCAGTGTCACGGTGGCATCTCCAATTTGAATCTCGGCCCAGAAGTCCTCTTCCCACGGCTGGTCCGCTCCCTCAATGACAATATTGGGCCGGAACTTGGTCACGTCCATTTCGAAGCCGTCGGGAAGGCGGCCAGATACGTCGTTTACGGACGATTGAGACACGACGAGGTAGGCAGCACAGTCCTGGAAGGTGACGGTGTCCTTGTCGTCGGCGCCGAGCAACGGGAGACTATTCGCGATGGATGATAGCCACGACTTGGGCTGCTGCTCATTGGGGGAGCGCGACATCAAGACTTGGCGCCTGTTGTCGCCGAGGTAGACCAGCTTGACCACAAAGCCCAAGCAGACAGAGAACCAGTCACTGTACGAGGAACCCATGTCATAGGCTTTTGTCGGGCTCTTGTGCATCATGATGTCGAGCTCCGGCAGACCGGCGGGATCGGGTTGCAGCGGAATTTCCAACGAGTCGGGCTTCTTCCCGGAATCGGGCGGCGGGCGGAAATTCACTATGATGCTACCCTTCTCGTCGGCACCGTCCGGGTAGATGATGGTGGGTTGGAAGAGGGTCATTTCGGGGAAGTGAGCGACGTGCATGTTTTTGAAGCTGCCGTCGCCCTGGATCTTGAGCAGCATGAAACGACGGTCATACTGGAAGCCAGTCTTGGTGATGGTGGCTGAAGGGATTGGCGTAGGGAGCAGCGCCTTGATGGGGTACGTATAGAGCTGAGGCGTTGTGTCAGAGTGGGACAAGGCGTGCCGGGACCTTTGGACGACGTACTTGGCCGATCTTCAGTGGCATTGTGGCGGGTCAGTGAACAAAAGGCGAAGTAGGATTTCAAATTGTTGAGCAACAGCAGAGGGGCGACTCGGATCAGAGCCGGACACACGCGTGCTGGCATATCTTGTAGCCACGCGCGGGCGTGCTGGCAAGGCCTGAGTCGCCAGCGCTCGCAATGCGGGGTTCGCATCTAGTTGGTATCGATAGGCACCACGACGACGGACCGGGCACGGCTACGGACTACGCCCAGCTCGGCTTACAAACGCGACAGGCTCGTCCGCCAGGCTTGGCGGCTGCGGCCACGCCGAGCGGCTCAGACGCGTTGAGCGCAGGGTTTTCGACGGTGAGCGAGGGGTGAGAAGAGGGCTGTGGCTGCTGCCCGTGTGCAGTGCGCGCGTGGTGGTCTTGCGCTGCACGCGAGGCGGGCGGCTGGCGATGTCACGGCAGGCCGCCACACCAAGGCCGGTTTGACGCTGCTGCTGCTCGCAGCAGACGTTCCATCAGTCTTCGGGAAGGGCGCGCGCCGACGCGACATGGCCCAAAGGGCAGATGAACCTGTTGATCGTGGAAACGCCGGCCGAATCAGCGGTGAGAGCGCGGGGGGCGACCGCACAGGACCGCACAGACAGGCCGGTGGTGTGTGGCTGAGCAGCGCCGGCTAGCGAATGACGTCGTATTTCGTAGCCCTGGCCCGACTGCAGCGAGCCGTCGTGCCGTTGGGCGCGCGGCACCAACCATCCGCACGCGCGCTACAAGACTCACACAGCCATCACCCCGAAACAGGCACCTGGCGAACTCTGCGCCCGCTACCCAACCGACCCTTATACTCCACCGCGCCCCCCAGCGCTTTCGCATCTGCATCTCTGCCGCACCTGCATCGCTCCCGCTCTTGCTCGCCGCCACCACCCTACCAAAGTCCGGCCCCCGCGCCTGTCCGCCTACCCCGCGACCACCCGTCAAGGCCCCCAAGCTCCTGGTCGCCGGCGGTCACACCCTCTCCGCCATGCCGGAACCCATTCAGCACCTTCAGGTCGTCGAGTCGACCGGCCTGCGCCGGAAAGACACTACCAAAGGCCCGCCGCTGCGCATCCTGTCGCTCGGTCAGTCGCACTCCTCCATCCCTGCCTAACGTGAGCTGGACTGACATTTCGCTTCGCAGACGGCGGTGGTGTTCGCGGCTACTCCATGTTGATCCTGCTGCAGGAACTCATGCACCGCACATATGTCGAAATACACGGCAAGGCCCCCAAGCGCCACGAGATCCCCAAGCCATGCGAACACTTCGACCTCATCGCCGGCACCGGCACCGGCGGCTTGATCGCCATCATGCTGGGTCGCTTGAGGCTCGACCTCGAGACATGCAAAGATGTCTATGTGCGCATGACCAAGCGTGTCTTCGAGACCGACAAGACCATTGCCGGCATTCCCTACAGACACACTCTTTTCAAGGCTTCCAAATTGGAGGAAGCCATTCGCGAATGTGTGCGCGAACACACTCTAAACGAGGCCGAAGGCAAAGACGACACCACCGCCTCCGACCTCGACCTCAACTCTCCCCGCAGTCCCAGAAGTAGCGTCCATGGCCGTCCTCAGAGAAGTATGAGCACGTCCAGTCGCTATAGTCAGATCGGCATGGCACCAATTAACATGCGTGGCCCGTATGCAGCCATGCGCTGGGGCAGCCCCAACGCCTTGCTGTATGACAGCAGGGAACACCGCACCAAGACGTAAGTGTCCGCCGAATGATCCCAACGAGCAATTGCTGATGTTCGTGTAGTGCCGTCACTGCTGTCTACAAGGGCACCCCGAGGGGTGGCAAGGCCCAGCTGCTGAGGTCGTATGACTCCCGCGCCGAACCCGCTCCTGAATTCGAATGCACCATTTGGCAGGCCGGCCGCGCAACCTCCGCTACCGGCCTTGCTTTCAAGCCCATCCAGATCGGGCAATCGGTTTTTATCGACGAAGGCGCCGGAAAATACAACCCTTCCCCCCAAATCCTGGACGAGGCAGTCCGCAACGAATGGCCCGGAAGAGAAGTCGGCGTATTTATCAGCATTGGCACCGGAAAGCGGCCCAACGGAACCTCAAACCAACAACACCTCTGGTGGGAGGGCTTCATCGGCAGCGGCATGGGAGATTTTGCGGAGGCCCGGAGACGCTTGATTGCGAAGATCGAGGGTTGTGAAGACACTCACCAGTACATGGTGAAGGAACATCTGGCCAAGCGCGGAGTCAACCAAGAAAACTACTACCGCCTCAACGTCGAAGTCGGTGTTGGAGAATTCGGTATGAACGAATGGAACCGCCTTGCCGATATCAGTACCAACACTCGCCGGTATCTTGCGAGGGATGAAGTTCAAGGCATGAACTTGGATGCTGCCTGCAAGCTTGGGCGCATTCACCGCGCAAAAGTCAGATGGGAGAGAGCCCAGCACGCCGGCGTCAGCGAATACACGTCGGAGTCGAAGTGGGACCGCCCTCTTCCTCCTGCTCCAGGCAACGGGTACACGCCGCCTTCGAACCCAATCGCCGTCGAGCTGCCGGCTGAAGACGTTATGATGCCGATGAAAAGCCCGCAAACTCCTGCGTCGAACGACTTCCTTTCCCCTTCCTCTCCGCGTGTTTCCGCATTCAACCGCCTCCCAGCCATTGACGACAACGACAAATTCGCGGTCGTCTCGTCTGATGAGTACCCTCAGCCAGTAGACCGCCGTAACTCCGGCGAGATGTACCTGCCCTACCGCAGTTCAAACGGATCTCTCATCCCCACACCCACCACCCCAAGGCTCAGTAACGAAGAAGCACGACCCGCGACGGCAACTACCGACGGCTCCATGCCGCACTCTCCCCCTCCGCTTCCACCCAAGACTCCTTTGCCTTATCCAGACGACAGGCCGATGAGCCCGAATGGCAGGCCGATGAGCCCCACGTATGGGAGACCGGTCGTCCCGCTTCCTTACCCGGATATGGACGGCCCTCCTCCCATGGTGAACATGGCTAGGAAGCCAGAGGTCGGCAAATAATGAAGTTTTTTGGGTTTCGGTTCTCATTTAGTATACTCTTGATACCCCATCCCCAAACTTTCGCTCACATTGTTTCAACTTCTTCTCTCGAAATTCCCCCAACCTCAGTACCCATGAATACCGTGGGGAACGGAACCGTTTTTTTGTACTGCGTTTTTAATCTTCTCTTCTCTGGTCTCTTTGCGTAATTGCAATATTCCCCCTAGGGCTCTTCGCGGTCCGCTAGCCTTTTTGTACACTTTTTTTTTTCTCTCCAGCACTCGATGCTGAGTCTTATGGTATGATGACGGCCGATTGAAGGAAAGGAAGGATGATGACCGACGTCGTCGAGTCGATTGATGTATCTTTGGCAAATGAAAACGTTCGTATTGGGTAAATACTGGGAATCGGGATGGGGGAACTTGGATGGCTACATCGATGGGAAGGGTTTCTAATGGATGGAATGACTCTTGGTATGGAGAATCAGCACGAAGCATATCTTAAATTCCCCATATAGTAACAAACAATATGTCTCTATAAGATGATGGCTATCTTGGTGTGAATGTGGGGGCTCTGTTTCAATTATGAGACATGTTTTATGAGAGTCTAGTCAGTGGACGTGCTTGGATCAAATGCTGGCATTTTCCACTTGAATGTGTCTCTCATAAGGCGGACAGACGGCTGAGGACATACATACATACATATCGACTAAAGAATTATGCAAGACCGCCTCGCTCGCACTTCGAGAGTGCGGGGATTATGTGATTGAAATGGTCTTTATATTCTTTTTTGAGAGACCATGGAAGTAGAAAAGAGGGATGGGGGGGACGCCTTCCAAACCATTCGTCTCACAAAGGAGATAGATTCTGACACAGTACCTACATCATCACTATAAGGGCCGGGTGTTTGAAATCAAGTTTTTTATTGTTTTGTCGAGTAGGGCTGACTACCCATCATACCCGCATACGTCCATGGGACGCAAAACGCAAAATGCGAATACCATCCACCCAGCTGATCTGACCGGGATGAGTTGCCGATATGTGTTTACCACGCGACACCAAAAAAAAAAAGCCAATTCGCGAGCCTTCCTTTCTGATTCATCTTGTTTCTTCGAGAGAGCTACTTGGCAGATAACACTGGGTCTGTCATTCCAGAAGGCACTCCCTACCCCCCCTTCCAAGTGCGCGGCGTGGCACGGTGTTCAACGCCCAATGAGAGAAATTTTCCTCTAGTAATCTGTGATAGAGTACATGAAAATGAATTACGTCTGCGCAGAGCTAACTTTCTTCTCCTTGAAACGGGGCGGTGCTTCGTCGATGCGGTCGGTCAAAGGGGAGAGACGCAGTAGCTGGCGGCCAGAACGCACGCTAGAGGAGAGAGACTTGGATTGAGCGTGTTTCTGGGCTTCGTTTAGGGGCACCCGTGACCCTGCAGAGTCGATGAAAATTCCAGGGCCCTCGGCTCGGAAACTCGGTAATCGAGAGCGGTTTGACGAGAGAGCGAGTGGCGCTCAGTAGCTCTGGCAGGGTTTTCCAATATTTCGAGTCGAGGACGGGTATACGGGGAGCCTTTGGCCATGCATCCAGCGTCATGATGATGCCCGTCGCGTAGAGCAGATCCCCAGTGTAGATTATTCTTGAAGGTCGCGGATTCCACCAGAAGCGACTGGGTTGATTTTCTTGAGTAATGCTGATCTCAACATTTTTCTTGGGTGGTTTTCTCAGGATGGCTGTACGTCCAGGTGCTCCAGGCTGCATCGACGACAGGATTTCCGCACCCAACCAATTGCACGCCTCTTCCGTTGGTTAAGGGGGGAGGGGCGTTAGCAGCATCCTTTCGATCGAGACTTATACTTCCTCTCCGCTTTCAAAACCGGGGAACCACTTCGTCGAAAAGGGTGGTCCCACCTTATCAGCCGGGGTGTTCGACTGGTGTCCTTAGCCACTCGTCTCTGGAGCTGGAGCTGGAACGCTGCAATCCATAGCTTCATCTAATGCCTCATCCACGCGTTTCATCGCCGCTATATTTTTTATCATGTGCGAGGTAGTCTCTGCGGCGAACATCTGACTAGAGTTCATCATGCCCATGGAGGGCGGTAGATCGCTGTATCCGATGACTCCAGCCGAATGTACCATGGAGAAATTTTGCGCTTGGAGGTTCGGCGTATCACCGTGTATGAGCTGATGGCGCTTGACCAAACCAAGCATTTGCGAACGGGAGAGCCCGAACTCCTTTCCGATGTGCAGGAGGCGGCCCTGTAGCCATGTGCGTTGTTGTTCGGGGATACATTCGACGTTTGCAGCAACGAAGACGTGCCAGACAAGAAGGAAGCCGCCAAGCGCTTCGGCAGCTGTGGCTAGATTCAGCATTGCCCACCTTGCCATGATCATGTTGGGAGGAAGAAACAACTTACACTCGCGGTCTTGACCGATCTCCATAGCACGAGGCTGCAGGTCGAAATTAATATGGAAAGGAACACTGGCGCACAAGTCGTCGATGAGACCTTGGGTGATGAAATGGGTGTTGACAAGAAGCGCTTTGACAGAGATGTCGGTGGAATTAGGGGATATGATTGAGCAGCAAGCCATGATGATAGAAAGAGTGAAGATACGAGTGACGCGGTAATCGTTCCAGATGTGCGAAGTCCAGATGTCCACGTAAGCATGGACTGGTCCGACCCAACGGTCGGCCGTATACAAATCCTCCGGTATCTGGCTCTGATATGCGATGGTCCTATACGCCCAGTGGTCGGACAGAGAAGTAGCCCATTGGTTCAAAGAGCTATCCACTTCTCTTGCCGCAGCTATTAGCGACCATGCCTCCGCCTTTCTATCGCCCTTAACGGTGTTGTTCATCAGTGCGCGGACCCGAGACCGGAGTGCTGGGAGGCCCATGGAGATAGTAGTGAGACGGTTGGCAGGGTTCTCTTCTTGGAGATTCCAGTTAGGGATACCCGGGAATTCCTCGACCGGCTTGCACCGTTGCATGGCATTTGTCAACTGCTACAGGTAAGCGCCTGACTGGAAACAAATCTCAAGGTATCGCAGTACCATCAATGCCCGCACAGCCTGGAACAGCTTTCTCGAGGACTCAGACTTCAATTGCTGCGGGCCGCGGAGCTTGGCTAGCGTAACGGCACCGTCGATGTGGTGCGCCCACGCACTGATTGATTCATTCGTCGAGTGCATGGCCTAGGGGTGTATCAGTCAATGCTTCTCGGGAAAAGATGAACCATTATTACACAATTCTTGAATTCTTCGACATATGTTGCTGCAGCGACCTGCAAAAGGCGGCGTTTGTGGTTCTGAAATACCTCGTATAGCACAAATAACATGATTGTGAGCAAAGTCTCATCGGACCTTGCTTGGACCGGGTCCCGAAGTGTTTGCTGTGCCTTTTGCAAAGCTTGCCCATAGAATCGGGCAGCTTCCCGCAGCAACGGCGCTCGACCGGGGTAATTGCCGAGGACTGCAAGGGATACAGCATGGGTGGCGAGATGGAATGTAGATGAAGCGGGTGTCGAGTTGTAGTAGGGCACGATCAGCTCGAAAAATCCTCGGGCAGTCTCATCCTGCTGGGGCAGAAGAACGAAGTTCCGGAAGAAGAAAGCGGTTGCCTGGTTTTCTATGGAGATTGAAAGACCCTGAGGGAGGGCGAGCCCGCGCAGCGAAAAGAAGGCATTGAGCAAAGCGTTGTCCGTGGGAACTCCGCGGAGTCTGTTACCAGGAGGACGTGAGGTCTGCTCTACGACGGCAAGGGATTGGTCGTCACTCGAGGGGTGTTGGGGAGAGTCAGCGCTGCAAGGGTGTGAGCGTCACTGGCAAGCATCGAGCTCGGAGGCGCCTACCTTGGGGACGAGCTCGAGTTGAACGTGCTCGGCTTCTGCTTCGACGCCGCCCGTTTCGTCCTGCGGGCCACGGCGGCATTCTCGTTTCGGAAGATGAGGTCGAACTCGTCAGGGAAGCCCGGGCAAGTCCTGGCTGACTTTCTGCAGTTGCCGCACGACGGACGGACTTCGTCGCACTGCAGACGGATCAGTAAGCCAAGGGCTCGCGGTGGGGGAAAAGCGGGGGGTCGGTGGTGCAGTGCTCGCAGAGGCAGCGGTCCGGGTGGCAACGTACTCTGATTCGGCGCGTCTTGCATGTCTGGCAACCACGACTCGGTTTCCCGGTGTAGACCATGGTCACTGGGCTGGCAGCGGCGGCGGGGTCGCAAGGCTCACCAAATGGGGCAAAACCGGAAGAAGAGGCACCCCACGAAGGAACATGCCTCAGCCGCGGTGGCGCGAGGTATATAAGGGAAGGCAGTCGTGCACCGTCAGGGGAAGCAGCGGGCCCGCGAGACCCAGGCTTGCTGCCTAGGGAAGTGACGCCGCGGGCGAGTTGTTGCACGCTGGCAGGCGACGGTGGGACTTTCCGGCGGCGCCCCCGACCATCTGACGCAGAGCAAGACGAGACGGCGCTGACGATTCCGAAAGAAGCAGAAGCCCAAGGTGCCGGCGGGCAGCAGGAAGAACGGGCGCCTCAGGACGAGGTGAGCAGCTCGATGACTCTGCGGATCCCTGCCAGCGATCAGCATGCGGCCTGGCGAGTCCCGAGGCCGGCGCGGCGGCAGGCGGAGTCCTGGAGAGCGGATACACCGAAGGCCGCGCCCGAGGAGCTGAGCGGTGGTCGCGGGCGTGGGAGCTCGCAACCATCGCCCGTTTCGGGCGCAGGCGAGCCGAGCCAGCCACTCGGCCTCTGCGGATGGGCGACTCCGGGAGCTGCCGGCTCCAACCGTCAGCAGCCACCGCGCTGCGCCGACAGCCTGTGCTCTTAACCCTCCGTCGCGCCCGCTCCCGCGGCACGAAACTAGTCCCTTCGCCGAACGTCACTGTGGACTGATCAACTGCCGCCAAGCATCGTGGCCGCCGCGCAACGCTGCCGATCGCCAATCTGTGTCGTCTCTGCGCCGGTCATGTCGGAGCTTCCGATCTCCCTTCGACAGGCTGTGCAACCCGTAGCGAGCGATCATCCGCAATCCGCCGCGGCGCATCGTTAGCCCGTCGGGACATCAATCGCTGCGCACCGGAGACGCCTCGTTGCCCGACGCAAACGCTACTTTACGGCCGACTACGAGCCATTCAGGATGCCCACAGCCCGAGCTGCTGCCATTCCAGCTCTTGCCTTCCCACTAGCATTGCCGAGCACCCGCCGCACGAGTACGGCGTATCCGCAAAGCTGTTGATCTTCCACCCTCTCGGTCAAACCGCGCGTATTGCACTCGCCCCATTGGCGTCTACTGGATCCATGGCCGTGGGATTTCTAAAATTAGGAAGACGCCTCTGCTGGGAAGTCGATCCTGCGTGCTGCACGGCGGTGAAAGGGGGGTTTTCCTGGTCAAATCGAATGAGGAAAGCAGAACTCTGATATCTTACCGGCATGTCAGGACCAGAGGTCACCGTTAATCCTACCTACTGGCTAATTTCTGAGCAGAAATTGCCTTGGCCAAACGCCGGGGAGATTGTGGCGCAGACATACATGGACCACCCGGAGACGAGTCTACAGCCGTTCACCTATTTGGTAGCCAGAGAAGATCACCGAACCACGTGGAGTGTCGGTCCGATCCCCGGCGCCCGTCATCTCTCCAAGCCCTTTGACCGTTGACATCTTCAGCTGGCGTCGGGACGGGGACCTGGACTTCATGTTGCAAAACCCTATTGAGCAGCCAATGGCCCACGCTCAGGGGGAGTGGGGTGCATTTTCGGAGATAGGCCCGGTGACGTAGCCCTCACTTAGCCGAAGCTGTTGAAGTACAAACAAAATGGCGCTGGAGCCGAGTTCGTGATGCTGCGGATCGGCATTACGATGCATTCATTTTCTGCAACTCCTTTTTTTGATCGATGCGGGTATGAGATAGCGAGGGAAGCTTGATATGCGGGTGCTTCCCAATCAGTAAGGATAGACGACAGATCATACGACTTCAGGACTCGAACTACTGTTCGCTCCGGCATGCACCAGCCTCGGTACCAGTACCACATGTCATCGAGACTTCAACGGGGTTGCAGCCGACATTTCTATGGTTCAAGTAGTGATCATGACTCGTTTGATGAAACTTGCCATGACGATGATCGGCGTTTGTAGAGTGCTCATGGGTACTACATAGGGTTGGCACGTGGTGAGCAAGTTTAGAAGCGAAGCTGCACGCGTGGTCAAAGTGGCGCACGTGGCTGGATTTCGTGATCCGAGTGCGTTGCGTGAAAATAGTGGCACTGAGACGAGCTTTGTGAGGTGGTGGTGGTTGTAGTCGGCGGCGCTCGTCGTGAGCGCAGGCATTTCAAAGCTGCTTTGAACCGGCGGCGCGTGATTGGCTGGCGGCGCGACGGGCGGGATGCCAAGACCAGCGTCGAGGACGTCAAAGTAGATTGCGCTTAACCACCACGTCCACCACCCCCACAACCATGGCTTCGAAGCTCAGCCCATTCGCTCTGCGATCGAGCCTCCGCGCCGTGCGGAGAGCCCGCCAGCCCCAATGGCGCGCCTTCACCACCTCCCCGGCCGTCCGGAGCGATGCTCTCGCCGTCGTATGTCTCCCGCATCCACCATGGCCGCACAGCTTCCGCCACCGCCAATGCCATCGCGCTGACCGTCCTGTCGCCTGCAGCACAGAAACACGCCCGAGAACAACCCTTCGATACCGTTCAAGTTCAACGAGCAGAATGAGAAGCTCATCCAGGAGGTTCTCGCTCGCTACCCCAGCCAGTACAAGAAGGCCGCCGTCATGCCGCTGCTCGACCTGGGCCAGCGCCAGCACGGCTTCACCAGCATCAGCGTCATGAACGAGGTCGCCCGCATTCTCGAGATGCCTCCCATGCGCGTCTACGAGGTCGCCACCTTCTACACCATGTACAACCGCGACCCCGTCGGCCGCTTCCACGTCCAGTGCTGCACTACGGTACGTTCGGACCCCCATAACCTGCCGATGGCGGTCTCCAGACGTGTGGCACAGGGCAATTGGAATACTGACGGACCGAATGGCAGACTCCCTGCATGCTCCGGGACAGCGACGGCATCATGAAGGCCATCGAGGAGGAGCTTGGCGTCAGCCACGGCCACACGACCAAGGACGGCCTCTTCACCTTCACCGAGGTCGAGTGCCTGGGCGCCTGCGCCAACGCGCCCATGGTGCAGATCAACGACGACTACTACGAGGACCTCACGCCCGAGACGACCAAGTCGCTGCTCAAGGCCCTGCGCGAGGCTGCCAAGGCCACGGGCGCCAGCGGCGGTGCCGACGGCCTCGCCACCAGCACCATCCACATCACCGGGGCCGAGGACTCGCGCGTCCAGACCCCCAGTGAGGGCAAGGGCCGCACTTACACGGCGAACGGCGTCAAGATACCCGCGCCCGGCCCGCTCAGCGGAAGGGATACCTGCGAGCCCGCGAAGGGCTTGACGTCGCTGACCGGCGAGCCGTGGGGCGCCGAGAAGTTCAGGACGGATGGTGCTCTTGACTAAACTAAAGAAAGCGTTGTGTACATTTGTGTAGGTGTTAAGAATTCCCATTGCCATTTCGAGTACCAACTTCGCGTACGTTCTTTGTGTTCTCAAGGTGTGATCTGCGGAGATATGGTGGCCCAATCTCGAGTCCATGTTTTTGGTTGCTTCTCGCCACGGCCTTTCGCATTGGCATCATAGATCCCCAATTTTTTTCTCTCAACCCGCCCAGCTCCTATGGGCTCGTTGCACCTTTCGATGAGGGCTAGGACAAATTTTGTAAAGGTCCCAGTCGTGAGAATTTCACAAGCAAAATATTGCCAGAGATCGAAACCCTATGGAGGCTCCTGCTGGAGGAAACTACAGGATAGAATTGGGTAGTGGGCTGAAAGCACACAAGGACCTCATCGAAGAGGTCGTGGTTCATGTCCTAAATGTCGCCACTTGTCTTGGGTGGCCGTGATATCCAGACGAGCTGAATTCTCTCGAAACAGAACCCAAGCTGTGCGCACACATACTTCCACCGAATGCGGGTAGAACGCCTGGAAAATCCTGTCGATGGAGATATCGAGAGGCATTAGAACCAAGGTGCGGTCAGCAGACAGCATCAACCATCGTTTTTGCTATCGTCGGAAGTCGTAGCGTCGACAATGAAGAAAGAGAAAGAACACGCCGATGGGAATCATCGAGATGAGCGTCAGCAACGATAGAAGGAATGGAAGGAAGAGGCGAGACGTTGCCAGGAGGCATGCCAATGGAGGTGATGGTGTTGTGGCGCGCAGTCGCCTTAATCCATTACAAAATCTCTGCAGCTTGACAAGGCAGGACTGCGCCTGCTTCCACGCATGCGACCGCCACCCTTCCCCATCTAACACTTATATAATCTCCCTCTCTCATCGCTCCTCAACCCCAACCATTGCGCCCGCCTCATAGCCCACCACGCCACCCTTCCCACTCCCCAACTGACATCCTCCCGCCTGCAAGTAGGGAAGCTCATCATCATCCAATCATCACCAGCGCCATGGTCAAGCCGCCGAGGCATGGCGAGCAGACATCTCGAAGACGTGTCACATAAACAGCACAAACTCAAGTTGAAGTGAAGAAGAAAGCAAGATTGAATTAAGAAGCTACATACTAGAAAGACCTGATCGGTCTTTCCCCTACCCAGAGTGAAAAACCATCACAACTGGGCTCCTCAAGGCACGCAAGGCTCTCGCTACAAGCGCTTGAGGACCACTGACCACGCGTTGTTTAGAGATGCCGCGTCTGACATCTGGTCTGTTGGTTGTTGACCCCTCCAGCAGGGACCGGAGGAGGCAGGCTCCTCGAACGGTGTGACTTGGAGGCTCCCTCCGAAGAAGAGGGAGACCCACCCACCCGGGATTGAAAGAAGAGAAAGGTGCCCCAAGTGCATCCCTGGCACAAGAAGCTTGAAGGAAGAAAAGAGGTTCAGGTTGGGGGGGCCCGGGGGGTTTTTATGTGTGAACCGGGTGGTACGTGCGCGCGCCTGTCCTCGTGCCCATCGCTTGGGTTGCCAGGGTCCAGGTGATTGGGGGTGTGAGGGCGCGGCTTCCTCTTCCACTCTCTTGCCTCTTTTGGAAATTTTCAGGGTGACGTCACCGATCACATCACGGAGCGCATGTTCAGAGGCATCCAGGGCCATTACGAAGAGCGGGGAGTGAGCCAGGATGATGCGGAGGTCGACAGGAAACCGCTTCCGGATCGAGTAGCAGTCCCACGGTCGAAGGAGAGGCGCGGTGGGAATGCCGAAACAACGCGCCCGCAAACACTAGTCCCAGCAACGCCCACCGTAACCACAAACACATTCGTTCACTCCGTGCTCTCTCTTGACTGTTGTCCCATCCGGAAGACTACCTAACCTGAATCCTCTGGATCCATACTGTACCAGTCAACACAAGACATAAGGCGACCGCAGTAGCTCGGTACGCGCGCAGGATTTTCGACACCACCTCTTCAAGCACTACGAGAGCCGGCGGTCATCAAGTTAGCGGCTACCCTCGTGCCTGACCGGGGGATGGGCAGTCTCGATGGCGACGTTGTCTCCGCCACACAGGAAATCGTCAGCTTTGGTTTTGTGGTAGTTGGTCATGAGCAGCTTCAGCTTCTCTCTCGGGGCAGGTCCCTCGGTACGGATTACTCTTGACCTCGCGGCGATCATCGAGACGGCGCGAGGCCAAGATAACCTGCGCGAAGGATGAGGCGACGGTGAGCGACGGAGACGGCACGAAGCGTGGATGATGATGATGGAATACTAAATTCAAGGCAATACCCCATATCGCCTTACCATCGTGTCAAAATCTTCTATCGACTCGACATCGTCTACCAACCTCTAAACTCCTCCGCCGCCACTGAGACACTGTCACCGAACCCACCCCCGCACCAAAAGGGCCACGGCTCACATGCAGGAGCGCAACACTCAAATCCAAAGCTTCGTCCTGAAAACCCATGGGCCGCTTAGCCAAGTGATACTCTGCAGGAAGAGGGTCTTACTGTTGTTCTCTTCTTAGGTCATGTTGGGTCTCAGGATGTGGAGCTGTTGGGGCCGCTGTCAGATCCGTCAACGCAAGGCCTCTCCGCTGCTCGTGGTGTCTCGGTCGTCCAAGTGAGGTGTGTGGCGTGTGCCAAGGGGAAAGTGGGGGAGACAGTGACTGCGTAAAATACCTTACTATCTATAAGAAAACGATGTCCAGGTGTAATATGCCGGGGCTTGATGTCAATAGTGCGCATGGTCAGAGGTTGCGTTTATCATGAATGTTTTCGTCCCCGGTTTGGGGTCTTCCTCACTTTGTCCTCGGTGTTGTAAGTGACGAGGAGACGATCTTGGGCCGTGGTGCCCAAGATTCTGTACTCTAGGCCGGTAAGGGTCATCTACAAACAGTGCCTGGCCAGGACCGCTGACAATGTGAGGATTTGAGTAAGTCTGGTTGTACGGTTGGAAGGATATCTGGCACCCAAGGACCATGTTCAAGAGTGAGGTAGAGTACAAGCATAGTGATGTCGGGTTACGCCATGTTGGAAAAGGGTGAGAGGCGAGCTCATGAAGCCTCCGCCTGCATGAAGGTGAACTGCTTCACTGAGACCGCCGCGTTTGCGTCGCGTCGCGTCGCCAGTCGCCACACCACCACGCGCCGCCGCCGCTGCGCCGCATCCCCAACGTCCAATATGCCACCATCAGAGGAACTCCAGGCTCTCATATATATATACTGCCAACGCAAACCCACTTGCATCAAATCGGACGGTTAGTGTGATGGACATGCTACGGCACTACACATCACCACCGGGACCTTAGAGCGTCAAACCTGCAGGTCTGTGATCCGTTGGGTGTTTCCTCATAGGGAAGGTGCACACTTCAATGACAAGCTCATGGGTTCGATCCGGCTTGGTGTCATACTACGGTTCCTGCACCAAGTCGGGGTTGGGCTCACGTAGAGGGCAGTCGCTGGGTGTGAGCCAGCCTGAGTTGCTTTTTGTTCGCCTGTTGCTTCGATGCCGGCGCTTTCTGTCTCTCACTTTGGATCTGTCTTTCTCGGAACGCTCTGCATGCCACTCGACCTCTTCACCGCTATCGTACGCCTAAATCAAGGGCTTCGGCCTCGATATCAACCGCTTCAAGAGCCTGGCGCTGGGCAAGATCAAGGACACAGACGGTAGCGTCTTGACCCTCAACAACGTCCTCACTGTTCAGGAGGATCTCGAAAAGAGAGCGCTTCAGAATATTCTCGCTCTCGTTCGAGCCTACGGATGGCAGAATCGGTCTGAGCTGCTTCTGGTCGCCCGTGAGAATGACAAGCTTGATCGATTGCATGAACGACGCTAGAGGCACCGCCAGCTCTGGGATCGTCGAAAGGCCAGCTTCCTCGCCGAACACCACTTGAGGCCGGAAGTGCTTGAACAGCGTGTCCCAGCCACTCAAGGAGCCGAGGGCTTGGTTGGGCACATTGCCGAAAGGTAACAAGGGCCTGGAGCACGATATCGCGGCGGGGTCCACCGCCCCGGCCAACCATCAGACAACACAGGCGGCTAGTGTGTCACCCGCCTCGGGTTCCGATTTCGGTTCCCCCTTCAAGGAAAGGCGGATACCCCAGACCCTGCCGTTCTAGGCTCGGTCGCCCCTCGTCCAGGGAGATCGTGACGTTGAACTGTACCAACGGGATCGTCGAGAGGCATCCCAGACGTTCTTTACCCATTTTCTTTTGTCATGTTTTTCGTGCTTGCAAACGAATGGTTGCGAACACAACGCGGTCGACACTACTGGAGGTAAGCTTTTGCCAGATCGCCTGCATGTTCGCAGGGCCCTCGTCCTCTTCCGGAGCTTGGTGCGTTCAAGGCCATCCGTGAGGCGTTGACCATCTGCCAGGCGCAGTTCATCGGCACCCTGGCACTTGCAGATGGACTTCCTCGAGCGCAGCAACGCAAGCCGTCGACGCGGCGTTCCGCGATAGCCTCGACATCCTAAGAAATCCTTATTTCCACCAAGCTGACTGCCAGCCCGCTCCCAACACACAAGAAATCGATGAGATACTAATCGAGCTTGGGCCCGACCATCTGCGTCTCTACCATCCATGCCTTGTAGGGGGCCACTGAGTCGGCAGGCATGCATGTATCTCCCACCGTATTCCGTGGGCCGATCGATGACGGAGACCATGGAACGCTTCAACTGGATGAAGCGCTTGCAAGATCTTTGCGAGCACTTCGCAGGCGTCTTCGTCACTGATGTCACCGGCTCCTTGGATCAGGCCCTTGAAGGGCGTACGCGCGAGAAGGTTGCGGTTGCCGTCCCTGTCGCCCATCGGCTGGTAGAAGTGCCGTTGCTAGGGCTTTCATTCCCCAGCGGAACCTGTCAGTGGATGCTTCTGCGGGAAAACGTCGCTGAAGAGTCCAGATCCATCTCGTCGCTTCCGACCAAGGTCTCGAAGAAAGCTCGGGCTGGCCCTGTCAAGGAGTCTCGCGGCGTCATGGTTGCTACTTCTTCCTTCATCTCTTCCGTAGCGTCTGTGAATGAGATGGACTGCCGAGAAGCGATTTGACATTGTAGCTTCAGCTTGCAAATGTTCCTGTTCCGAACGCCATCGAACATGCCAGGACGTATCGACGCCATCCTTGCAACTGCTGGTTGGACAGGTGGCTTGATCGGAGAAGATGATGAAGACGGTTCTGAGAGTGATAACCCTTGAGCTTATAACCTGTTTGCCGTAGCTCCTCTTCCAGAGTTGGGAAAGCTGTGCTACGAATCGCGATCTGTCTTGCACGGTGACGACACCGTCTTAGTTCATCGGACGTCTTGTATGGCGGGATATGGTCCTGAACCCGCGCAGGCTGGAACAGCTTCGGATACGCTACCAAGTCAAACGTGCGATTCAGGATACGGAGCGGACTAACAACTAGCTCATCTGACTCGACGACAGCACCGTGTCCTTGCAACCAAGCTTTTCGTTCGGCGTGCTTCTGGAATATCTCTAGGGTACCCACCATACACGATGGCCGCTAGAATAGTGAGTCAACGAACATGGAGCCTTACTCCTCCGAGATCCAGCAAACACCGTAGTGCAGTCCTCACCATCGCCCGCCAGCGCAACCGCGGCTACGTTCATCAGCCAATCGAGAGGAGGACCCCCTTCCGCCTTCTGGTTGAGATGGGCCCGGCAGAAATTTGATCCATTCCTATGTGTGTACTTGAACCAACCGTTTGGACGTATATGTGAGTTCTCTTGGGCTCTTATCGATACGGGTATCTGAAGTCAGTATCTAGACGTGTGTAGATAAATTTGCAGACGGCAGACATGCATCGACACATGGGATTCAGCTGCCTGAAGAAACGTTTCTTTTTTTTTTTCCTTTGGGCGACCAGCGGTGATGGTGGGAGTCAGCATGAGTCGTGTTCGTGACTCGCTCAGTGTAGTGACTTGCTATTACGGGAAAGGAAGATTAGAGTTAGTGTGCGCACTGAACAAGAGCGGTAAGAGCGGTAAGAGCGACCGCTCTCGCAAAATCAGTGCAGCACAGCTTGAGTATTTAGTCGCTTCGAAAAGAGATGAAAACGAAGAAGATGACGCCGGTGATGGTGATGAAGGTGTGGATACCTTGTCAAGCAATTGGTGGAGTCTCTGGTAATGGCCGATTATCTATGAAACTTTTGGCCGCTATAATCACGAGTTTGGCACTACTACGTAGTAGGGAAGGATGAGGCCATCGACGTCATTGAGCTCAGGTAAAATGTGTAGTAGTGTACATCTACGACATAGAAGTAGGCTAACAACTCATTTTCTGGCCCACTAGGCGGGGCTAAAGTCACGATCCCTGAGTCCTGACATTCGTATATGGCCAACCATCTATCGCATCGGGCGGCAAACACCGCGAATGTAGGAAGATTGAGTTTGTGGTCTGCGCCTATGACTTATAGTATTGCCTGGTCCAGGCAAAAGGTTGCGCAGCAACCCCATTGCGGCCTGTCGCGCGATCTGAGGTCCAAATTTAGTTGTAGCCAAGCCCCAGGGGCGCCGAGCTAGCGACCGTATTGTTATTCTGACTTCACGGCCTGCGTGCTCTCGTCACGTCACAAGCAGCGTCGACGCTCTTTCGACGGTGGTGAGAGAGCAGCACCATGAGTCGCGCGCGCGGATGCATCTGCGGGGATCTGATGCGACTGCGGGTGCGTGTGAGATAAGGAGAAAGGGATAAGGGCACCAGTGATGAAATGATGCAGAGGCTCAAGCGTTGGCCAAGGGTCCGGGGCCCCGTCGGTCCATCAGAGCACGGATGGCCAGGGCGCTTCTAGAAAGGAAAAGGGCAATCGTCCCAAGTGGGTGGATGCAGATCCGAATGAAGCAGCGGACCGAATCGAACGAAACACGGCGTTTCATAAAGAGTATTGGAGGGGAGCGAAGAACGGAGCGAGAGGGCGCCAAGAGGCAGCATGGTGGCCTCCGCGAGGGCGCCGAGGGTCCGGTCTGAGGTCTGCGATTGATGAGGGTTACGAGACGCGGAGCTTGCGTATGCTGAGCAGTCTATGCGGGGGACACTTGTTCGACTCATCTTTGCTAGTGTACGGGCTTGGCGGAGCGACGATTGCCAATAAGGGAGGGGGCGCTTGTGGCTGCGAGTAATGCACTACTGGCGAGGTGGGACGGAAGCGCAAACCAAGTTTTATGGTTATCCTTTTGGTGGCCTGGCGGTGCGATGTTGCAAGCGGGGGGCGGGCACGGCGGGCACGGCGGGCACAGCGGCGCACAGAGGGACGGGGACGCAGCAGGCGGCGGTTGTCATTTGCCGGACTGCCGTTTCGGGCGGCGAGTGCAGGGCTGGGTCGGCCGGCTAATGCTGGAGCAGCAGTGGAGCAGCGAAAGCGGACGCGGACTTGGTCGCGCCTGCTGCTCGGGGTTAAGAGGCTCGGCAAGAGGCTTGTCAGCGTCAGGAGGGGTTGAGACAAGCGTTGCGAAAGAGCTTGCGAGGCCTCCGCCGCGGCGCGCCCAAACAGCGCACAGCTCCGGGGGCGTGGCGGCGAGCTGGGCAGATCCTCCCAATAAGAGCAATACGACTGGCTCGGGGCTCGGCGCCATGGGAAAATCACGCGAGCCCGCAGAAGGAGCGCGCGACTGCCAAGCGCCGTCAATCCAGCAGCCCATGTGCTTGGCTTTACCTTAATTCTCGGCCAACCTGCTCGGCGCCACTCGGCGCGCTCTAGAACGGGCACGCGGGAACTTGCCGGCGTCGACGGCAGCGCAGCAGCGCAGCAGCGCGGCGGCGGCGGGCGTGCGCGGGCATGCGCGGGCGCGGCTGGGCGCCGGGGGAGCTGGCGCTGGGCAGGTGCTGGCGGTGCTGGCGGTGCTGGCGGTGCTGGCTGGCTGGGCAGGTGCCGGGCGCGGACGGGGCTGGGCTGGGCGTGCTGGGCAGCGTGTGCCGTCCTCCCGGACGCATCTTAGGGTTGCGGTTAAGCATAAAAGGTCCCAGAGCTTTATCTTACGCCACCGGGCTGAGAGGGCTCGTATGACACGCCGCACAGCCCTCGCACAACGTCGCCGGCGCCCCTTTTGGCCAACCGCGCCCTTGCCTAGCAGCGATGGCGTTGCCGAGCCCACTCGATGTGGAGACCGGGACTCCAGACGCTGGCGCTCTCCGGTGCGCTTACGTGGCCCTTTGCCAGGAGGCCGCCGGACCCGCTCCCGCGCGCGCGCTGCGACTCGGGGGCCGCGACTGCGAGCTTGGCTGGCAAGAAGCGAGATGCCAGCTCGTGTCGCCGCTCCTTGCAACGCCGGCGCCGTGCAACCCGCTCGCTGCGCGGCGGCTGCGCTGCGTCTGCCCGCCGGCCCCAAGCCCAGCGGCCAAGGCGCGGCTTACGGCTTCGGGGACAGCCTGCTCGACTAAGCTTAAACATGGGAGCGGCTGACGTTGTCTGTGTGGAGCCGGGCGGGAGGCTAGCCGCTGCGTGAGCAGCCTGCGTTACTACTGCGCTGGGGCGGCCGGAGCAGCCAGCGCGTCGCAGCGTGCTTGGCTCCCGCCCGTGGCCCAGCGCGCGGTGGCTCCCTTCGGCACTTCCAGAGCCCCGCCGGTTGCGGTGCTAACGTGAAAATTAAAGTTAGTTATTGCGGATAACCTTCGTTGCTTAATCTGAGTCCCAGCCCGCCGCCGGGTGCGCCGTGCGATGCGACGCGGCCGCCCCAGCGCGCAGCGTCAGCTCGGGTGCCCGCTGCTCACTCTTGCGCCGCGAGCCTCCCACGCTGCCAGGCTGCCAGGCTGCCAGGCTGCCAGGCGCGCCCAGCCGCACGCAGGCGCGACGCGAGGGAAACGCCGCGAAGCTAAAATAAAGCTGATCCACACGCCGCGCCCTCGCTATCATCAATGCGCCACTTCAAGCAAGCCAAGGCCGATCCATTCCCACGATTCCCACGCGCCTAAGAAAAGGCACATTCCTCCCCATGCACCACCGTGCCTTCCGTCAATCAGCTTTTATCCGCGCCGCGCCCTCCCAACACCGCCTTTCGCATCTCCTCTTGGCCGCGCCCTTGGCTCCCGACGCGCGCCCCCCAAGACTTCCCGCACCACCGCCCGCGCCCATGTGCTCGCCCGATCCCAAGCCTTGACCTCCCCAGTAAGTCCCAGCCCTCGTTTCATGCTTCCGCTGCCTCCCGCGCGACCCTCGCCTTGGCCCCAGCCCCAGCCTTAGCCAGAGCGGACACCGTATCCGCACGGCCCAGACGCGCTTATTGTTGGCCCTAATTATGGCCACCCGGAGCCAACTTAAATCCATTCTAGCTCGCTTCCGCTGCGCCTTGGCTAACGCTCGGTGTTTCTGCAGCTGGCGCAACCCAAACTTTATATCCTTTGTATCCCTCCCGCCTTCCTTCCCTCTTCCTCTTTTCCACCTTTTCGGCCGTCCCACCCGCCTCTCGCGACCTATGTCCGCCATGGAGACGTACCACGGCCACGTCCGCACCCCCAACGATGCCATCATCCTCTTCGAGGCCTGTCGCACCGGCCTGCTGCCGCGCGTCCAGCGCCGCCTGTCCGAGAAGGAGCGCCAGCAGATCAAGTCCGGTTCGGTCTTCGTCTGGGACGAGAGGGAAGCCGGCATGCGCAGATGGACCGACGGGAAATCCTGGAGCGCCAGCAGGGTGTCCGGCAGCTTCTTGACCTACCGCGAAATGGAGGGCAAACGCGGCGGCAACGGCTTCCCCGCGAAAAAGTCCAGCAGCAAGTCCGACAACGGCTCCAAGGACGGCTCGGACGAGGACGGTCCCGACGGATACCGCTACAAGCCCGACGGCCTGATGAAGCAGTCGTTCAGCATTACCACCTCCCAAGGCCAGCATCTCCACCTGATCAGCTACTACGCGCGCTCGAGTCCCACCGCCAACGTGCTGATGCAACCTTCGCAAGACCCGAGTGAGTAAAGAGCTGTCGCTTCCCTTTGAAAGCCCGTCCTGACAGTATCCAGGTCTGCGTCACATCCGTCCCCAGAAGGGCATGTACCCCGAGTCGTCTGTCAATGAGCAATCCAGTGTTCCCGCCGTGACAAGAGGACCCATGCCCGGGTCGCCATACGCCACCGCACCCCACGTCGGCTCTCCGTACACAAGAGCGGGCGCACCTCTGCCGCCTTACACCATTCAACTACCGCCTGGCCCTTGGCCGCCCACTCCTCAAGGAACCCCGCCCTACTCGCCCTACGGCTACCCTGCACCCGGCGGCTACATTGCGCACTCTCCTCACCCGTACCACCACTACCCGGCACATACAGCTTACCCTGCCGGAACTGTGTTCGACAGGCCCCCTCCCGGACTTCCCCCGCCACCTCCGATGGCGAATGGCCACCCTTATGCTCATCACCAGCTCGCTCCGGCTGCTCACCACCCTCCCAACGTCTCTCCGCGTGTCCAGCAAGCGGCCCACACTGGACCGCCTTCGGCAGCTCCGGGACTGCCCCCTCATCCGTATGCGCACGTGGAACCTCCGCAGCAGCATAGGCCGTCTCTGCCCGCCCCCTCGACTTCTGGCCCCGAACTTCCTCCTGTCAACACTCCGGCTGCTCCGGTCACGAACGGCATGGCCGTCACCCCGCAACCGCCCGCGACCAACGGACAGGTAGAACTCCAGCGATCCGCTTCCACGGAGGCGCAGTCGCAATCAGCTCCCGACAGGAATGACAGCGCACCGCCTCAGGCCAAGACTTTCCCCAGCATCCACGCGCTTGTCAATGGATCGTCGGATGCGACAGAGAACAAGAGTGACGCAAGCGCAACTAGCCGCAACGGAAGTCGCAGCCCCAACAGCGCCCTGCAACACGTCAAAGAGCGGAATTCCGGATATGGCGAGGACTCGAAAGCATTGAGGAGTCTCGACAAGGCTTTCATGGTCAGATGAGCCTGAAGAACACAGCGTCTCCGTTGCGTTTCACCATGTGGCATTTTCAGATCCAGATCTCGGTTCTTCACACAACCCTGCATGATCGACTCGGCCAGTAATGCGGACCTTTCCATTCCCTTTTTCTTCTTCGAGTCAAAAAATCTCCTTCGCAAATGGTGGAGTTTCCGGCGTCAGAAAGCGGAATTTCAAATCTGGAACGGCGTTCTTTTGTTTTGAGTGTTGATGCCTTTCATTTGTCTTTTTTTTTTTTTGCTCTTCACTTTCGTTATCTGCATGTCTCAGGGACAACGGTTGCATTCGGTATGGCGTTTAGGAGCACTCCTTTTACCACGGGTTCTTTTTTTTTTTTCCTTTGCACGGAAGCGGCATGGTATGGGTTTTACATGGGGCATCAAACTGCCTTGTTTTCGTACGAGAATGGGTGGCTCATAGTCGGATTCGATGCGCACACTTTTCCTTCCCCCCTGTTCATCTCTACCGCGAGGGCGTATTGCCTATATGGCTGTTCCCTTATCCAAATAGGTACTCTGTGGTCGGGTACAAAGGCTGCCATCCTCTTTTCATCGAGGAAACTGGACTCGAAGCATAACAAATAGTCAGCCAAATGAAGAAAAAAAAGGAAATAACAATTCAGACGAATGTGCCTACGCTGTGTGACTACTACGATGACTTTTGCTAGCAGTAAAAAAAATGGACTGGGAGAGTCACTGTTGCCTGCTGCCTCTCGTGTCATTGTCTCTCTTGAAGTACGTACTACCAACCAAGTAAGCATCTTGCGCTGTGCGAAGGGCAACGGAAAAAAAGAGAGAGAACCGGTTGCCCTCGGATTAGGCATTCGATTAGGCAGCGTTCGTTCCGAGTCATTCGCGCGCGGCATTGTTGCCACCCCCAGAAGAAGTCCGGGGTACCTAGGTACGTATCTGGGTTCAGCCATCCGTTCATGCAGGCCGAAGCGAGCGGGTTATGACGTACCCCATCCGCCCGGGGCCGCCTAATATACCATGACGAAGGGTTTCGTGCGCGCGCGGGGGGGCCGAGGTATGTACGACGGAGGGGAAAAAAAAAGGTAATCGTCATCACCGTCATCGTCATCATCATCATCCGCATGAACATGCTTTATCCGGGCAAGATATGGGGGAGCAAGAGGATAAGATCGGCGCACATCTATAACATTGATGATAAGGACATGGGCCGTTTACACAGGTATAGGTGTACTTCGTATTTCGTACATTACATCGTATAGGTAATAGGGAGATGTTTGGGAATGGGAAAGCGTCTTTCTTTCTATTTATCTCTCTCTCTCTCTCTCTCTCTCTCTCTCTTCCTTGCGTGAAACGGCGGTATAGACATCTACACGTTCAGGCACACACCCCTCCTCCCTCCATCCCTTAAAGCAGAACCTCGCCGGTAGAAAAGAAGAGGGGAAAAAAAAAGCCAACCGCCCAAGCCACATCATTCGTCCACCTCCCTCTCGGGATCAATCAACCAACCAATCAATCAATCAATCACAGCTTCGCCTCCTCCTTAACCTCGCCCACCTTAAGCTTAGGCGCATACTTCTTCAGCACGCCCTCGTTGTGGTACTGTAAACAAAAAAATTCTCTCAGTCAGCCTGACAATTCTTTTCTTTTCTTTTTTGGGGGGCGGGCAGCCCGGCAGTTCCCCCCGCCCGCCCGTCATAATTCTCCGAAATCTGCACCATCCTCCAAAAATAGAATTTGCGCTCGTATATCGGAACGTGGCCAGCTAGCCTCTTTCTCTCGCGCGCTCTCTCTTTTCCTCTTTAGACTCTCTACTCCCGCCTCTTCCCCTCGGCCGACACTCGCGTCCCCTTTTTGGTTCAGCCAGCCAGCCAGCCAGCCAGCTGCATGCAGGGGTGGGCCGGGCGGACGGGCGGGCGGGCGGGCGCAGCGTACATGCATATACGTACTGTACATGCACTCCTCCCTCACAGGGGTGGTGGCTCAGCCGGGAGCGAGGGCAAAGGAGAAAGAGAGGGAGAGAGAGAGAGAGAGATAAGACCAGGGTGTCGCCCGAAAGGGAGAAGGCAACAGGTATTGGCGGGTGAAGGGGGGAAGGGGGGAAAGGCCGGCCAACCAGCCAGCCATCCAGCTGGGGAGGAAGGGCAGCGAAAGACGCGCGGGGAGGGGGAGGGGGAGGGGGACTCGTGTGTGCGTGTGAACGTGAACGAGAGCCGAAAAAAAAACCACCAAACGTTCTCTCGTCCGTGTTGACGTTTTCTCCTTTTCGCATACGTACCTTCCAGAACTGCTTGCTCGCGTCCTTGCCGCCGACGCGCTTGAGGATCTTGGCGCCGCCCGGGTGCTCGTCGACGAAGCCGGCCAGGCTGTAGACGCCGCCGTCGATGATGATGTACAGGCCGTCCTCGACCGTCGCGTGCGCGGCCACGTCTTTGGGGGTGAAGGTGTCCGACATGGTTCTTCTTCTTTTTTCCCTCCCTTGTCGTTGTTCGGCCGAGATGGTGCGGACGTCGGTCGGAGAGTTGTTGGTTGTGCGGGTTGGGTTGGCTGTTGGGGTTGCGGGGATGGGGGCGGAGCGGCGAGACCGAGGGTTGGTTGTTGGAGAGGGGGTGAAGGGTGAGAAGCGGTGAAAGGGCTTCTCGCCGGTGGTTAGGTTGGAGCTTGGGGTGGGCGCGGCGCGTCGGTAGCTTGGCTTTTCCTCTCTCTCTCTCTCTCTCTCTCTCTCTCTCTCTCTCTCTCTCTCTCTCTGCGCGCACCTGCGCACCTGCACCTCCACCGCTCGCGTTATCTGGGGTGGAGTGAGATGAGCCGAGGTATTGCGGGGAACGCGCCGGCGGATTACGGCAGCGGCGATCTGGCCGCTGTGATTGGCCGGCTCGTCGTCGTCGTCTTGGATGAGTATATATCGCGGTCCCTTCGCTGTAGAGGGAGGTGGAGGCGATGGCGTCTGCCCAGCGGCATTATTCTGCGGAACTGCATGGCCGCTGAGGTGGTTTTTGGTTGTCGGGAATTCCTTCCCGTTGCTTGGTTGCGAAGTTGGAACCACAGCGGAGATCTCGGCCGCCGCAGTTCCGCGGTTCCGTCCCCGAACATCCATAAAACCAGAAGTCGATTCCACACTCTGCACTCACCCGCCGACTCGCATCTCCCGTCCGTACACAACTGCCGACCAGGCTGGTGGCATCTCGAAACGAGTCAGCACTCCTGGGCTGAGCGTCGGATCCTCCACCAAGCTTGTGTTGCGCAAGCGAACAATCCTGCGACCGCCCGGTGGGTATTGGCGGCGGCCGCCGCCGCGGGCACGGAGTCCGCCAGCTTACGTACCCAGCACACGACGCATGTCCACGTAAGACAATCTGTTCCGTCGAAGAAAGAGATACGCAGAACGGCAAAGGGGAACCTCCGCACGGATCTTCCGTGGCGCCTATAGGCAATTGCCTACTAGTCAGCCTCGGCATTTGCATGTGTGTGTGTGTGATCTCCGCCCTGCATCTTAATGACGGGCCCCGAGTGTGCCTGGAGCCCTTCACTCCGAGCCCCGCTCCGAGTTTGGATTATACCCGCGCGTTTCAGCTTCGTTCGTCGGTTTTGCTGTTGACTGGCGGATTTATCCACCCCCGTTGGTCCCAGCCCGTGGGTCGGTGGAGACGCCGTCCGTGGATCAATCGAGGCACTTCACTTCGCTGGGATCAGCCGCCGGGTCCGCCTTGCAAGGTCCAGACGCCTCATGGGGTGCAGCGGCGTTTGATCTGCGCAGCTGCGTGAGCTTGGCAAAATGTAACTTCTCTTCGAGGAAACTCTTGTCGAGACGGCTTGATTTAAAGTGTTACGCGTTGCGCAAGATCATCCTATATTCGTGCTTCTTATTCCCCAGGGCCAGTGTGCGGCTCTGCTTGCACAATTCATGCAACCCCCGGTCGTTGCGTGCAAAGTCCATCTCGAAGCGGTGCTCGTTTAGAGATCGGGCTACCACGCGTCGAGTTGCCCGAAGCCCTTCCCCCTTCTGATCCTCGACGATCTATCTAAATCCGGTTTCATGGCACTTACGCCGACGGCTCTCCTGAGCATCTAGCCGCCATACCTGTCGTATACCACGTTCCCAATCATCCAACCTGACTAAAGCTGGAGCACCCTGCCGTTTCACCTTTCTGCTACTATCTCTGACAAATCAAAAACCACCATATCTGCCGCTGCTGCACCTCCCACTGGCGGAACGACTCCGCGACGGACATGGCTTACATCATCTTCGACAGTCAGTTCAGCCAAAGTCGTCTTCCCAACACAGTCTACGGTGGATTCGTATGTTCGTGCGGCCTAGACAGGATATCTTATCTTTTCTTGCTCCTTATGAGCTTACACTTGGGCTTTCGCACGCAGCCGGTTGCTTATGAAGTTTGTGGCTTTTCTCCCTTCTCGTCTTGAGTTCCTGCAGAGATTGGAAGACGGCACGGTGGGATACGCCACCTACAGTGGATACATGTGCTGCGGATCGATCGGCCCAGGGCAAGATAGCCGCGGAAGTGGGATCAGAAAGGAATGTGCTTGATTTGCAAGACTAGTTCGATGGTGATGAACGCACTCGGGTGTTCACGTTCAATCGCAAAGATATCGATTGTAAATTACGCGGAGTCGAACGGATTCCCGCTGAACCAGTGTTTGTCCAGCAATGGAGATGTATCTCAAGCAACTCTGCCGTAAAAAAAAACAATATATACTTTAGACACTGCAACACGATCCCGTATACAAAAGCTCTCAGTCGGGTTTTTTGAACATTGCCGTTGTGCAGGCGAGATCGTGAAACCACTTCTCTCTCTGCCCGTGAGGCCAGGCATTACCGCTTCGCCTTCTGTTGCATCACCCTCGGGCGGAAGAAAAAGGAAAAAAAAATAAGAAAGGAAGCTCTAGCCTGACAGCTCGTTTGTCATTTTTTTCCCGCAACATTTCGTTTGTACTAAGAGCCTTGATTGCCCGTTTGCGGTGTTCAAAAGTGAAGACATGATGACGCAGATCAGCTAGCACACTTTAATATATGTACGAAAGCGGGCAGCTGTTTTCCGAGCAACCATGTTGCGCTGAAGCATTAACACATGCAGACAAGAGCCAGCCAGCCAGCCACTGAAAATTGACATGTTAATCCCATCTCAAGTGAGACGCCCCCCCTCACCTTCACATACTTCGGACGAGCCTCAAATGCAGGGACCATGCACACGGCCCAAAACGGCAACAGATCATTTTGCAACTTCGAACGTCTAGGTGCAGATTTTCTAGAAGATACTATCAGATTGGGGGTGGTCATCTCGGTGGGGTATCAGCGAGCGGGTGAGGTTGAGGTTGTTGCGTGCCCGTGGCGTACATGGATCACCCGGCTGTGCTTCTCAACTTCTGTTTTTCGGCAACCCGATCGGATAGGCGTCCGCGCGTTCGAAACCCGTAGCTACCGGTATTGTCTATAATTTCTCTCAAGATAGTCAGTGTCTGGGACTACCTGCTGAGATGCGGCACGTACTGGCTCTCTCTCCTCTTCCCCAACCACCACCTCGGAGACTTCGGCATCATCATTGAGCTACCTAAGCCGAAACGGAGTCACCCCAATCGACAAATCGACTGTCGGGCTCATTAACTCACAACTAGATAAGTACCCCATTCTCCTGCTGCCCGGGAGACTTGGGCAGGCTTTTGCGGTCGGCAATGGTTTATGCTGCACCCAAGCCTGATGACAGTACACTCCATCCTCACTTCCCCTCACTCACCTTTGCAGCAACCTCACACCGACAACACATGTGTGCTCCGGCACTTGTTAGTAAACAATCAATGCAATGGTAACATACAGATTCTATTTTGATACAGCCATATACATAACCGAAAGGATAAGGCCTTTTCATCATCTACTAACGTTCGCTCATAAGACATACATCTACACACTCATAATAGACATAACGCATCACCTTCCCTCCTCTTCCTTCTTTTCCATCTTTTCCCCTCTGGACGGCACTTCACTCCCCCCTCTCCCCGTCCAACCCAGCCCAACCCAACCCCAGGCACAAGCACAAAAAACTAGTCCACCCACCACCACTCCCACCTACACCCCACCCGGCCTAAACCCAACATGCAACCGATCCGCCCCCCTACCTC